GGTTAAGTTTTTTAGTACCAGTCCACTTTTTGACTGAACTGTTTGAGATATTAATTTGAAAGTTGGAATACTTGTTTACCATCATGGTCCCAAAACATGGGCAGGAGAAGGTAATTCTGTTAAGGATTTTATTTGAATTATGGCCCTTTTTGACTTAGAAACTCAGTTAAGATTTTCATTCTTGTCCACTTGTTGACTTAACCATTTGAGATATTACTTTGGAAGTTGGAGTTCTTATGTGCCATCATGAGACCTATCTGTAAGCAAGAGAAGATAACTCTGTGAAAATGTTTCTTGATTTGTACTTAGAAATTCCTAGTTAAAGTCTTGTGTGCCCTTAACTGTCAAAGTTTTGTTTTATAGGCAAGCACTAAAAAAGTCGAGCGCGCTGTCCTTCTGACAGCTCTTGTCCCCTTCCCATCTAACGCTTGTTTGTGTCTTTGATTCAAACTCACGCAAAAGAGCGTTTTTCAAATCGTCGAATTCTTTGAGCAAGTTTTTTTCAAAATGTTTTCTGTTGAGATTAGCATACCGGTCTTTTTCCCTGATTATATCGCGGAAACATTCTTTTGGAAACGTATATTTTTCTAAATGGAGAATAAAGTGTTCTTTCCACGTATCAATTGACAACACTGAATCAGAAAATTCATTAGCAACTTTTAAAATACTCGAATATATGTCTTCAAAACAGAGTGTTATTTCTCTTTCTGCCAATATATAATAACATTTATTCATTGGAGAAAACAACAAAGTTTCTGTCAGTTCTGAAATCCACTCGTAACCATATTCTCTTGGAAAATTAATGTACTTTTGAAAAGAACTAAATGATTGCTCTGATACTAATTTTTTGAGAATATCAAAAATGAGTACATGTTTCAGCATTGGTAATTTTCCCCTTAGATAATGTTTTACTTTCATTGACATACTAAATCTAATTGTTTCTTTAATACGGTTTGCCAACGCGTCTCACAGTAAAGCAGCAGCGGTTTCTTCTGCTTTACGATCATTCAGATGAGCATTAAATCTAATTTTCACTTGACTTTTGTATCTTTCTAAACGCGCATGTATCCCATGTGAATCTTGATACGAACGATTTACAGCTTCAAATTTAGTACAGGCAAAACTGCTTACATGTACCATTGCCTTTATGATAAAAGAAATTTTAACAGTATTTTTTTGACCTAATTTTTCTTGAAAGTCTTCAAAGGACTTTTGTACATATAGTAAGAATTTCCTTACTTCACGTGTAGTTATTTCTCTTTCATTTTGGCACATTGATATGATTTCCTTATCTAACAACTCGAAAAACTGTTCGCAGGTGTCTCTGGTCATTTGTAGAGTATTTTTTGCAAGCCTATTTACAAACGGCACCTTCTTTATAAAATATTTTACATATTTATATTCTATATTCAAGTCAGCCTCATCAATACCTGTTTTTGAAAATGATCCTGATAAACAATCAAGTTGTACGTCTTCATTCAGCATATTACGCTTTGTGAGTTCTCCGCGAAGAACTGGATGCCGTCCAAATATGTCCAATAAACAACTGACAAACATGTCTTGCATAGACAAATGAGTCCTTTTTAAAGCACTTGCACTTACAGATTCATTGACAAATTTTTTCCAAATCTGTTCAAATCTTTGTTCAGATTCATTTATATCAATATCTTTTCCCTTCAACTCACGTGCAAGCTCAATGGACTTATTCATAAGCTCTTCTTCATGCACAGCGTGCATTACAGTTATCATAATATCAACTTCCCTCTTGTTAAAAATACGTTCAATTTCCATTTTCTTCTTTTCTATCACCTCATTAGAGTAAAACCGGATACTGTTTAAAGACTGTTCCTTCCATTGTATTATAATTTCTGTAAAATTATTGTCTTTGAAAAAAATATCGATATTTTTCAAAGCATCATCTTTAGCTAGCCCAACTTTATTTTCCATGTCAAGGACAACTTTGGTTTTTGATATGCCTAAACTTTCCTTATTATCACATTGTGAACAGGCATTCAAAGCTAATTGATAAACCGCCCCGTCTACAGAATTGTCTATGTTCCATTTTTCCATTTTCATTTTTTTCCCCAATTCTGTATATGCCTTTTTCTCAAGACTATTGCGGAAAGAAAATACAAAGTCTTCACTCAATACACCTTTCCACAAATCCTCAGTTAGGATAACTATTTCATTTAAAGTCTTATATGATTTTTCACTCGCACACAACGCTCTTCTAAATAAATGTGACCTTATAGTTAAAACTTTTTCACTGTAATTTTTATTAACCCGTGCCATTGGTGGATTTCCTAACCATAGATTAGGTAGATACCATACGCAGTTTTCTGTATCGAACTCAATTATCTGACTAAATGTTGTAATATCTGAAATTAATTCAGTCTCTGCAGATTCCTTTGTTGCTGTGTCTAAATTTCTGACTAATAACTGAAGGCTTGTTTTCAGTTTGTCCCTAGCAGTAATATCGATGACATTTTGATGTATAAAAGCACAACTTTTAAGCATGCGCAGTTTTTTGTTTGCCAATTGTAGTCTGATAAGTGCATGGACAATTATTTGCAGAATATCTTTCATTTCTACGCTATTCTCACCCATTATATTAAATAATGTTATATCGCCCAACCCAGTGATAATAGTTGCTAGCTTATTATCACGTTCAAAGTTTCTATCGCTAAGCTCAGGTGCACGTAAACCTTCAGTGTCAAGCACCATGGCGAATTGAAAAAGTTTGTTTTCTGTATGTTTTATTGGTAATAAATGAGCATGGATTCCTCTTGTACACCTTCCGGCACTAGCAGGTAATTGTAATCCGAACATTGTGTTAAGAAGTGTTGACTTACCGCTACTTTGAACACCTAAAACAGACAAAGTCATAACTCGTGTATTACCAATCTGCTCATTTATCTTACTTAAAACTAGTTTTATCCACTTAATTGGCATATAGAAACTGTTTCCATCAAGTAACTCTAAAGTAAATCCGTTACATACAAGTGATGCAGCAATTTCACTTAATTCTGCGACGTGAGGAAATTGTTTTATTTTCTTCGTGTCATCTCCCAGATTAATTATCGTATCGCAAATCTGTCCCATTTCTCGAAACAAATGATTTAGACCAAATGAGGCTTTCTCTATTTTACTTTCAATATCTTTGATCTCCTTTTCGTATTCGTTCAACTCGTCGGAAGTAATATTCTCTTTTGTTTTCTTTTCTCTATATCTGTCCCAAGCTGCTTTATTTTCTTGCATTAGATTTGGAAGAACTAATCTCTTTTTTTCTTCAAGAAAATATTGTAACCAGCCCAGAAAGTAGAAAATCCGGTTGATTGTTTTTCCCTCATAAGTATGTAAGTTTTCCCAAATGAAACAAAATGGATTGACTTTAGAACCATTTTTAAAGTCAAAACTGTTTTTTCGCGAAATTTTTTTTTTCTCTGTTTTTAATATCTTTCTAACTTTATCAAGTCCATTTTATCACCTTTATACATTTTGTTTTAAAAAGTTCACTAATGTCAAATGATAATGTTTGGACTGGCGTTATTACTTTTGATAATATTTCGTGGCCAACTGATTCTTTTTTCATCTCATCCATAACAGAACTTGCTGCCTTTTTTGCATCATTGCATTCATTATTTTCATCAGACTTTGGCGCATATTTAGAACACTTTGACAGCCTAACCGAGAGAGGTTCCTGATTTGTTTCATTTTGAAGCTGTTTAGAAATGTTAAAAGATATTTCAGCCACAAGATCTGTCCTGCTTTTTTCAATTTTATTTTTGTAAGTGCACGTTATCTGTAGTTTTGTGTTTGTTTTATCACGTATATTGCTAACGAATTGAAAAAGTTGCTCGCTAGTACCGTCATTTTTGTCTAAAGGACTTGCAATAACTAATATAACATTCTGAAATTGAACAATTGTTTCGTGAAGACTTTTGTGGCCTTTAAGGATTGAATCTATGTCAGAAAAAATAGTAATTGTATCTGATAACTTGGATATGAACGCTATGACATTTTTATCATAAGACGCGATATCACCTCTCATATTCAAAAAAGTAATAGATCTATCAAAATTACACATATTGTCTCCTACTAATGACAAAAAGAACATTTCAACATAACCTTGTGTTAGATATCTAGTATTTGTACCAGAAGGAGAGTTTCTGTGAAAAAACGTATCTTCACTTCTAAGAATATTATTTAACACATTTGACTTGGAAATTTGAGGTCGCCCAAAACGGGCAAATGATACTATATTTACATTAAGGTGTAAAACTGAATCTTGTTTCATTCCGATTAAAATAGATCTGAGTGGCCATATGTACATCGATGGTTGATCATCTACATTTTTATAGAGAAAGGGAATTGCAAGTTTGCATAAAAATAGTCTTGAAAAGATTATTTGCTTAAGCATTGGGTCACAACATTGTAAAACTAATATAAACAAATCAAGGGGACTAATGGATTCGTCAACGCTAGTTCCTTGGCAACTTTCATAAAGATCTGATACTGAATTAAGCTCTACAGCACTGTCCGGATTTGAATGCATCCGAGGAAGATCCATTGCATTGTTGTTCATACACATAATTTTACTCAAGAAAATCCATGGAAGATCTGCCAAAGTAAGGTTTTCGTCTGTATGATCCTCTACACTGACAGAGATCAAATTTCTCATGTGTATCTTTTCTGGATATTTGTTGACAAGATGCAGTTTTGTAAGCAGTTCAACAGTTTTTTTGACATCATTTTGACGACTGCTGAAGGACTGAAAACAAAGTTGTATTTAATGGAAAACGTGTCCGCTAGTATTCATTTACGAATTGCTATCATATTATGGTGAAGAATCACTTGATAACCTAGTCCCATGTTCACAAATTTTTGAGAGTGTTGATCTCACATAAAACAGTCAAATTAAACCGTAAAACATACGTAAAACAAAGAATCAATTCTAGTAGGTATATTCAAAAGCGACAATTGCGCACGAACGGACGTACTCGGGATTTGTAAATATCCACATTAACTGATTTATTTACCTTTTCAGGAGATATTTTATCAGCGTCATCGTGTTTCGTTTTCACTTCACGTTCTTCATCTTTTCCTAAATAACACCATTTAAAGAATTATATTATTTTTTACTACTATTCATAAACTATTGTGCAATGCATTTTTCATAATTACAAGCCTTATTACCGGTACTTATTCCAAGTTCTTTAAAATATACTTGTGTTTCCCTTATACGACTTTAATACATCAAGCTCATAAAGAAATGCTTGCATGATGACGTTTTTAAAGTTTGTAAAGTAATATTCTTAAACTTAAAAAACAAACTATTATTTCTTAAAATGCATTGAAAGTGGAAAAAATACTCACTCCGCTGTTTTGACTTTGATAAAAGAAAAAGTGCAACAAAAACCAAAAGCAGACACGTACCTGAAGTAGAGAATTCAATAAACTTATTAAACCAAAATGTAAAAACAAATGAGTGCACAGTTTACAAACTTTATAAACGATTTGAAAAAGTATATATATATAAACATAATTTAAATATACCTAGTCGATTTGAGAGGACACAAATGTTGCAAACATCTGCACATAGACACCCGATCCCTAAGAAACACACAAAAACCGAGTCTAAAATATATTTTGAAATAAATTAAATTTATTTGTGAGAAAGTAATAATTTACATGTTTTCCAATAGATGATGCATATTCCAACTAAAAGTACCGCTAGCGCTGCAAGTATGATCCAAGTCTCTAAAATATAAAAGAACTCATATTAACTGAACACAATTTATATATTTAATACGACAAGAAATTTATTGTTCATATTATAAGCACAATTTCAATTTCAATTGAAAGAGTCAGTGTCAGTGCCGTTTATACGCGTATGAAATTCATGATGCGTCATGATCAGACTTTGCAAAGTTTGGAATAATTTTTATTTAAAGCAGCACGCATCCTGATTCATGCTGATTTTCATGAAAATTTTGAAAATGTATTGATAAGTAAAATATTGAACAAAGAAAGTGATTTACGCATTGCAAACAGCACTTACAATCCACGTAAATAACCAAAAGGAGGTCAAAATATACAAAAATAAATCTTATTGCGTTAGTAACGCAGTAGAATTATAGTGATTGATACTGGAAAATTAATCATTAATCGCACATAAAACATAAATGATTTATTAAATACTGAATCTTTTTACTTTTATTAAGATCTTAATACTTTTTATAAAGATTGAGTAACTTGAAATATTTTGGCTCATCAGGAGGCGTGCAGCTTTAATTGATGTTGGTTGAATATTAGTGAAAAATACATCTAGGATTTTATTTAGTTATTTTGAAGGATTTTAACTAAATTGGTTTAGGATTAATTTATAACAATATTTCCCGAATCAAAAAAGGGAACAATTCCCTTTTTATTTTAGGGGTACACTTCCATTTTTCAATTTAAAAACAAATTTTTTCAAAGTTTTGAACGTTAATATCATAAGCTTGGGGTTTTTAAACCCAGATATTGGGCCCCGGATTTTTTCGATACCAGAAAAAACCAATAAAAAATTTCCCAAGAACTCTACTTTTACCAAAAGCATGCAAAACCCGGTTTAAAATTTTAGAAAAGGGGAATTAAAAGCTAAACCCAAATTTCTCCCTTTCTGTGAAAGAAGGAAAACCCATTTTGGATTCGATATGTTGTAATCTACACCCCTTTTTTTTGAAACAAACATTTTTGTATGATTTTATTCATATTCGTGAAAAGTGTAGGTACCCAAACATGGAAGTTACAACTTAGATCACACATTAAGCCCTGATGATATCAAAGGTTATATGGTGATGAGCTTTTCATGCCTTAACCAAATAATACAATTTCTGTACTGTATTTCGCAAATACATATATTTACATAAAGTACCAATTGCCTGATAAATTTAATTTCTTTAAAAAGGCAAATATTACTTTAATAACATTTAAATAATGGTTTTAGAGCATGTAATTTGTTCGTTACCTGAAGAAAGGTTATAAGTGAATTATTTGTCATAAAAGTAGCTAAAATTATTTGTCATAAAAGTAGCTAATCTGCGCTAATTGCAAGATAAGCATCAGGAAAAAGATGGTTTAGGTAATTGGCTTTTGAGTAACATTATGGAGTTATAAATGTTCACAACAAATCGATAGCTTTTGAGAAATAACTAGAACTGCTACTGTCATGGCGTGAATACCCCTGCATACCACTTTGTCAGAATCAACAGTGGTAATTTAGAGCTCAAGGACAACCTCCCTGCAAAATCGGAGGTATGTAAGTGCATTGCTAATGTATGTATTCTTCATGCTTCAAATGTGAAAATGTCTAAATCAATACACTTTCGACAAGCATTCTTAAGCATTTGACCAGACAAGACTATCGTAGAAAAGCCCCTGTGATCTTGACCTTTGACCTAGTGACATAAAAATCAATAGGGGTCACTTAATGGTCATGATCAACCTCCATTCCAAATGTCAAAGGATTCTTAAGTTATTGGATGGACAAACTTTTTGAAGTCAAGGTCCCTGTGATCTTGACCTTTGACCCAGTGACCTCAAAATCAACAGGAGTCATCTTATGGTCATGACTAACCTCTATGCAAAATATAAAGACTGTGGGTCAAAGGATTCTTTAGTTATTAGGCGGACAAGCTTTTATTAGTCAAGGCCTTTCTTACCTTGACTTTTGACCAGGTGAACCTAAAATCAATAGGAGTCATCTACTAATTATGACTAACCTCCATGCCAAACATGAAGACTGTGGGTCAAAGGAATATTAAGTTATTGGGCAGGTAAACTTTTTTGTCAATGCCCCTGTGACATTGACCTTTGACCCAGTGAACTTAAAATCAATATGGGTCTCTTAATGGTCATGATCAACCTCTATGCTAAATAGAAGACTGTGGGTCAAAGGAATCTTAAGTTATTGGGCAGACAACCTTTCTTTTAGTCAAGGCCCCTGTGACCTTGACTTTTCACCCAATGACCTCAAAATCAATAGGGGTCATCTACTAATCATGATTAACCGCCGTGCCGAATATGAAGACTTTGGGGTCAAAGGAATTTCAAGTTACTGGGTGGACAATCTTTTTAAAATCAATGCCCCTGTGACATTGTCCTTTGACCCAGTGACCTCGAAATCAAAAGGGGTCATTTTCTAATCGTGACTAATCACCATGCCAAATATAAAGACTGTGGGTAAAAGGATTCCTAAGTTATTGGACAGTCTTTAGTTTCTAGTCAAGGTCCTTGTGACCTTTGACGTAGTGTCCTCAAATTCAATAGAAGTCATCTACTAATCATGACTAATCTTCATGCCAAATATGAAGACTGTTGGTCAAAGGAATCTTAAGTTATCTGGCGGACAAGCTTTTTCAGTCAAGGCCAATGTGACCTTGATCTTTGATCCAGTGACCTCATAATGAATAGGGTTCTCTTAATGGTCATGATCAACCTCCATGCTAAATATGTAGACTGTGGGTCAAAGGAATCTTAAGTTATTGGGGGACAAGGAAAAACAGACGGATGGCCGGACCGAGATGGCCGAACGGACGGACAAGCTGATTCCAGTATACCCTCTTACAACTTTGTGTACAGGGGTATAAAAATAAAGCCATTTCTATGGCATAATGAGATTTTAACTATGCACACTTACAATGATCCTGTTAGATTCCAAACTTTAGGGGCATCAAATTTTTCTCAAATTAATTACTTCTTTTCAAGAACTTATAAATGTTAATACGTTTTATTTTTTTTTATATATTTCTTGTTTAAAGATTTTATTTTCATCGCATTTTGATACTGATTCTTGTTTACATGATAATAAATACTAGATATAATACTATTCAGGAAGTCAGACAGTAAACATGCAATAGTTTTAAGTATGAAACAATGGTGCCGTAGTTTTTTTTATGCTTTTTACTGTTAATACATCGGTTAATAATTGTCGGATTTGTTGAAAATGTAAACAGAAAAAATAGATTTAAACAGAAAAATTGGATTTTTGTGTCGTGTCAACATAGCAAACTTACAATATTGTAGTAAACTTTAACACATTAACGGAACGCACTTACAACAGAGATACTTTTATTACAAGCATGATTAGATAATAATTAGAGAGACAAAAACCCACAACACTACCTTTACAACCTCAGTTCCCCACAAAATGAACTTGTACATCTATTTTGCTCTTAATCTCTAAACCGATGATTTAGAATCTCAATGTAATGCCAATAATAAAGCTTTAAAAACATGAAGATGTTTATCGAATTGTCGCAATAGGGGATGAGTAAAACCTACCCAATATATCTCAAATTATATAACATTTTCTAACATATCAAAAATTAAAGTACAGCGTTGTCAGATATCTATGGTTAAGTCAGAAATTGCAAACTGTACCGGCAACCAAATAATGTAAATAACATACTTCCCCTATCAGTTTATACTGAATTTAGAAAATATTACCTCCTACAATGAGTAACTACATTCGTAATCTTTATTGGTCAATTATAACAAATAAATCTTATGTGGATAATGCAGAGCGATATTTGACGATAAGTTTATGGGTATTGTCTAACCAGGATGTAATTTTTTCAGGCAAAAACAAGATCAACCAAATAGCTGAAGGGGATTTGGAAAAATCATCGAAATTATTATTTTGCAGATGGTATAAATAGTAATAATTGGCAGAAATGTATCCTCTGGCAAAATATGTTTCTGCATTATACGTAAAGTACCATTCTCATCATAAATCTGCGAAAAACAAAACTATTTTTTCTAATGTAAAATTATTAACAAAGAAATATTTTGCAATTTAATGTTATTTACTTACTAGTATATTTTCATGTTATACAGCCAAATTGTCAATAAAAAGACACACAACATTCTATTATTATTTATTTCATTTTTATTGATATTAAAAATAAAATAAACGAAATTCAATGTATTATCAGCACCATATATATTACAAGGAACGCATAATTCGGGCTCAATTCTAATATAAACGTTAACAAATAAGAAGTTTCATCTTATAAATAAGGACATGTAAGCACACTTACAGAGTTTGGGACACTTTCAAAGAAAAATGTGTTTAAAAACATACAATAATAAGTTCTGTTTCTGAATAGAGTTGGATTTATTTCCAATGCTATCTATCATCTTTCTTTCTTTTCAGTTTTAAAGTTTAAACTTTGCAATTGCGCTGTTGTTAAATCATACAATACAGAAACCCAATTTAAAACAAATATAGAAAAAACAGAAAAATGCATTTACTCAGACTAAACATTTAAAGAGTAATATTATAGCAAGTGACAGTACATTCCTTTCTCATGTGTTTTATTTGTCTGGTTTCTTACGTGTACTTCCTGAACGATAAATCATAAAGTATTTTGAAATAAATTACACTTTTAAGTTGTATGATTTTAGATTTGATTACACATTTTATCTCTACATTGCAAACTTTCTAGTTGTCCGCCGCTTACGTGTTTAAAAGGTTTAAAGTGGGTGGATATGTTAATATAAATGTCTTATTTGTGTTTAACAAATATACATAAACACATATTCAAATGTAATTGCAACGTATAGAATGATTTCAAAGATTTTAAAAACATTATTAAATGGCCGTTGTTAAAATATGTTTTTCATTTTTTGAATTTTTTAACATTTTCCAAATTGTATCCTTTATAATATCTTAGTCTACATTTTCTGAAAATCATTATTTAAGTTTCTTTGAACTGGCCATCATATTTTCTTAATCATGCAGCCTTCTCTGTTTGTCAT